CAGCGTTGACACATAAGGCCAAACCGTACCACAGCGTTGACACATAAGGCCAAACCGTACCACAGCGTTGACACATAAGGCCAAACCGTATCACAGCGTTGACACATAAGGCCAAACCGTATCACAGCGTTGACACATAAGGCCAAACCGTACCACAGCGTTGACACATAAGGCCAAACCGTATCACAGCGTTGACACATAAGGCCAAACCGTATCACAGCGTCAACACATAAGGCCAAACCGTATCACAGCGTCAACACATAAGGCCAAACCGTATCACAGCGTTGACACATAAGGCCAAACCGTATCACAGCGTTGACACATAAGGCCAAACCGTATCACAGCGTTGACACACAAGGCCAAACCGTATCACAGCGTTGACACACAAGGCCAAAATGTATCACAGCGTTGACACACAAGGCCAAAACGTATGACAACGTTGACACACAAGGCCAAACCGTATCACAGCGTTGACACACAAGGCCAAACCGTATCACAGCGTTGACACACAAGGCCAAAATGTATCACAGCGTTGACACACAAGGCCAAAACGTATGACAACGTTGACACACAAGGCCAAACCGTACCACAGCGTTGCCACACAAGGCCAAACCGTATCACAGCGTTGACACACAAAGCCAAAACGTATCACAGCGTTGACACACAAGGCCAAACCGTATCACAGCGTTGACACACAAGGCCAAAATGTATCACAGCGTTGACACACAAGGCCAAACTGTATCACAGCGTTGACACACAAGGCCAAACCGTACCACATCGTTGACACACAAGGCCAAACCGTATCACAGCGTTGACACACAAGGCCAAACCGTACCACATCGTTGACACACAAGGCCAAAACGTATCACAGCGTCAACACACAAGGCCAAAATGTAGGACAGCGTTGACACACAAGGCAAAAATGTATGACAGCGTTGACACACAAGGCCAAACCGTACCACAGCGTTGACACATAAGGCCAAACCGTACCACAGCGTTGACACATAAGGCCAAACCGTACCACAGCGTTGACACATAAGGCCAAACCGTATCACAGCGTTGACACATAAGGCCAAACCGTATCACAGCGTTGACACATAAGGCCAAACCGTACCACAGCGTTGACACATAAGGCCAAACCGTATCACAGCGTTGACACATAAGGCCAAACCGTACCACAGCGTTGACACATAAGGCCAAACCGTATCACAGCGTTGACACATAAGGCCAAACCGTATCACAGCGTTGACACATAAGGCCAAACCGTATCACAGCGTCAACACATAAGGCCAAACCGTACCACAGCGTTGACACATAAGGCCAAACCGTACCACAGCGTTGACACATAAGGCCAAACCGTATCACAGCGTCAACACATAAGGCCAAACCGTATCACAGCGTCAACACATAAGGCCAAACCGTATCACAGCGTTGACACATAAGGCCAAACCGTATCACAGCGTTGACACATAAGGCCAAACCGTATCACACCGTTGACACACAAGGCCAAACCGTATCACAGCGTTGACACATAAGGCCAAACCGTACCACAGCGTTGACACACAAGGCCAAACCGTATCACAGCGTTGACACATAAGGCCAAACCGTATCACAGCGTTGACACACAAGGCCAAACCGTATCACAGCGTTGACACATAAGGCCAAACCGTATCACAGCGTTGACACATAAGGCCAAACCGTACCACAGCGTTGACACATAAGGCCAAAACGTATCACAGCATCAACACACAAGGCCAAAATGTAGGACAGCGTTGACACACAAGGCAAAAATGTATGACAGCGTTGACACACAAGGCCAAACCGTATCACAGCGTTGACACGCAAGGCCAAACCGTATCACAGCGTTGACACACAAGGCCAAACCGTACCACATCGTTGACACACAAGGCCAAAACGTATCACAGCGTCAACACACAAGGCCAAAATGTAGGACAGCGTTGACACACAAGGCAAAAAGGTATGACAGCGTTGAGACACAAGGCCAAACCGTATCACAGCGTTGACACACAAGGCCAAAACGTATCACAGCGTTGACACAGAAAGCCAAAATGTATCACAGCGTTGACACACAAGGCCAAAATGTATCACAGCGTTGACACACAAGGCCAAAACGTATCACAGCGTTGACACACAAAGCCAAATCGTATCACAGCGTTGACACACAAGGCCAAACCGTATCACAGCGTTGACACACAAGGCCAAACCGTATCACAGCGTTGACACACAAGGCCAAACCGTACCACATCGTTGACACACAAGGCCAAAACGTATCACAGCGTCAACACACAAGGCAAAAATGTATGACAGCGTTGACACACAAGGCCAAACCGTACCACAGCGTTGACACATAAGGCCAAACCGTACCACAGCGTTGACACATAAGGCCAAACCGTACCACAGCGTTGACACATAAGGCCAAACTGTATCACAGCGTTGACACATAAGGCCAAACCGTACCACAGCGTTGACACATAAGGCCAAACCGTATCACAGCGTTGACACATAAGGCCAAACCGTATCACAGCGTTGACACATAAGGCCAAACCGTACCACAGCGTTGACACATAAGGCCAAACCGTATCACAGCGTTGACACATAAGGCCAAACCGTATCACAGCGTTGACACATAAGGCCAAACCGTATCACAGCGTCAACACATAAGGCCAAACCGTACCACAGCGTTGACACATAAGGCCAAACCGTACCACAGCGTTGACACATAAGGCCAAACCGTATCACAGCGTCAACACATAAGGCCAAACCGTATCACAGCGTCAACACATAAGGCCAAACCGTATCACAGCGTTGACACATAAGGCCAAACCGTATCACAGCGTTGACACATAAGGCCAAACCGTATCACAGCGTTGACACACAAGGCCAAACCGTATCACAGCGTTGACACATAAGGCCAAACCGTACCACAGCGTTGACACACAAGGCCAAACCGTATCACAGCGTTGACACATAAGGCCAAACCGTATCACAGCGTTGACACACAAGGCCAAACCGTATCACAGCGTTGACACATAAGGCCAAACCGTATCACAGCGTTGACACATAAGGCCAAACCGTACCACAGCGTTGACACATAAGGCCAAACCGTATCACAGCGTTGACACATAAGGCCAAACCGTATCACAGCGTTGACACATAAGGCCAAACCGTACCACAGCGTTGACACACAAAGCCAAACCGTACCACAGCGTTGACACACAAGGCCAAACCGTATCACAGCGTTGACACATAAGGCCAAACCGTATCACAGCATTGACACATAAGGCCAAACCGTACCACAGCGTTGACACACAAGGTCAAACCGTATCACAGCGTTGACACATAAGGCCAAACCGTACCACAGCGTTGACACATAAGGCCAAACCGTACCACAGCGTTGACACACAAGGCCAAACCGTATCACAGCGTTGACACACAAGGCCAAACCGTATCACAGCGTTGACACACAAGGCCAAACCGTACCACTGCGTCAACACAACAAGCCAGAATATAATATGGTGTCACTACTTACATTTAAGGCCAAATTATACCACGGCGTCAACACACATTGATATTAAAAAGCGAAGTAGGATAATGACTATGGGTTATATTATCTACAGAGGATCAGCAGAAAGCAAATTTTCAGCCAGTACAATCAGACCCGGAAAAAAAGGTTTTAAGTCACATGTATTAGGATCCGTTTGGTGCATGTATATTGTATCGGAGAGATATTTGGATAATTGTTTAGATTGCTGAAGAAAACCTGATGCCTAAATGACACTAAATATATGTGTATATTAAAGATAAAAAATCCTACTATGTAATGACACATCGAAGATAACTGTTGTAAGTGGATACAGTCTGTGTTTACGGATAGCGTATCTAACTAGAACAGGAGTACAGATTTGTACCTTTGCATATAACGACCTACTACCGCTAACAGCCCCGAAGGTACAGCTGAACCTTGGCGTAGGGGTGTTATTTTGTCGTAAATAAAATTTACAACAGAAAACTGCGTGACACGTGTAGCCTTGTTAGATACATCCCGAACAATAGACGTAATTATCATATGTAGAAATAATTACACACTGCAGCAGACTGCACGGAACGCGGCTGACCCTAATTCACCCCAATACAGTTGTTTTATGTGCATCAGGAAAGCGTTTTTTTTTTGGAGGCCGGGACATTTACGCTTGGTTGACGGCGTTAAATTTACAACTCTTCGACGTGACTTCGATTTAAAATTACATTTTTTTATATCGACACAGAAGAATGACTGATTTTAACAGAAGTGGAATAGTGTGTAATCAGGAAAATCTCCAACACACGTGTAATCGTGTTAGATTAGAATAAAAATAACGAGGATATCAGGGTCACAAGAACACTTATTTCTTACCGTGGATTGCATTGAACACACTCGAATAATTCCGCCCATAACAATCCAGTATCCATGGTGAACATGTATCTTACAGCGCGCTATTTTATGTTCACCCAACCATAAACCGCAAACTTTTTTATGAAAAAGAAAATCAATGACTTGGGGAATATTTTGGTAAAATCAGTTATTTTAGATAACAGCTATACATATATAGGACATCACAGATTTACAGGGCATCGACATAAAAGCTGTGTTTATTTGTGACAAGTCAGTTACTGTGCTGATCAACTTGTCATAAGGAACATTTCATACTTCTCGGTGTGTGAAATTATAATGACACAATACACGTGAATCCTCTCGAGAAGATCAGCGAGGATGGCTTCGCTTGTTCTACGACTGTGTAACAGTTTTGTATCCACACTGTAAACAACTTGATGTTTGAACCAAACATTTTGAGAGTCAAAATATACAGCCATGTCTTTTAACATTATAAAGTATATAACACAAGGCCAGTTACATGTGATGCTCTCTTCTGGTAGTCTCGGACTGAACGCCAATTCCCGGTTGATAAAGACTTCCAACAGGTAAAATGCACATGTTGTTATCAAGTCTCTTCCTCTGTTTCTCTAAATGCAGGACCTTGTTCATCTGTTTCAATCACCACAGGGAATTGTTCATCTGTTTCAATCACCACGGGGAATTGTTCATCTGTTTCAATCACCACGGGGAATTGTTCATCTGTTTCAATCACCACGGGGAATTGTTCATCTGTTTCAATCACCACGGGGAATTGTTCATCTGTTTCAATCACCACGGGGAATTGTTCATCTGTTTCAATCACCACGGGGAATTGTTCATCTGTTTCAATCACCACGGGGAATTGTTCATCTGTTTCAATCACCACAGGGAATTGTTCATCTGTTTCAATCACCACAGGGAATTGTTCATCTGTTTCAATCACCACAGGGAATTGTTCACCTGTTTCAATCACCACAGGGAATTGTTCATCTACTGTTATCAACACAGGACCTTGTTCATCTGCTTCTATCAACACAGGACCTTGTTCATCTGCTTCTATCAACACAGGACCTTGTTCATCTGCTGCTATCAACACAGGACCTTGTTCATCTGCTTCTATCAACACAGGGCCTTGTTCATCTGCTTCTATCAACACAGGACCTTGTTCATCTACTGTTATCAACACAGGACCTTGTTCATCTGCTTCTATCAACACAGGACCTTGTTCATCTACTTCTATCAACACAGGACCTTGTTCATCTACTTCTATCAACACAGGACCTTGTTCATCTGCTGCTATCAACACAGGACCTTGTTCATTTGCTTCTATCAACACAGGACCTTGTTCATCTGCTTTGATCAACTCCGGGCAATCTTTATATATGATACGTACAGCTTACATAAGTCTCTATATAAGATATCAAATTATACCCAGATACACCACGGCGCAGGAACAGGACCAAAAAGGAATCTATTGGAGATTATCGGTGTCTATTGGCGAATTTGGGTCTTGTGTCTGTGATCAAATCGGCACAGGATCTTGTGTCTGTAATCAAATCAGCACAGGATCTTGTGTCTGTGATCAAATCAGCACAGAATATTGTGTCTGTGATCAAATCAGCACAGGATCTTGTGTCTGTGATCGAATCAGCACAGGATCTTGTGTCTGTGATCAAATCAGCACAGGATCTTGTGTCTGTGATCAAATCAGCACAGAATCTTGTGTCTGTGATCAAATAAACACAGAATATTGTGTCTGTGATCAAATCAGCACAGAATATTGTGTCTGTGATCAAATCAGCACAGGATCTTGTGTCTGTGATCAAATCAGCACATAATCGTATGTCTCTGATCAAATCAGCACAGGATCTTGTGTCTGTGATCAAATCAGCACAGGATCTTGTGTCTGTGATCAAATAAACACAGAATATTGTGTCTGTGATCAAATCAGCACAGAATATTGTGTCTGTGATCAAATCAGCACAGGATCTTGTGTCTGTGATCAAATAAACACAGAATCTTGTGTCTGTGATCAAATAAACACAGAATATTGTGTCTCTGATCAAATCAGCACAGGATCCTGTGTCTCTGATCGAATCAGCACATGACAATATATCTGTGATCAAATCAGCACAGGATCTTGTGTCTGTGATCAAATCAGCACAGAATCTTGTGTCTGTGATCAAATCAGCACAGGATCCTGTGTCTGTGATCAAATAAACACAGAATATTGTGTCTGTGATCAAATAAACACAGAATATTGTGTCTGTGATCAAATCAGCACAGAATCTTGTGTCTGTGATCAAATCAGCACAGGATCTTGTGTCTGTGATCAAATAAACACAGAATCTTGTGTCTCTGATCAAATCAGCACAGGATCCTGTGTCTCTGATCAAATCAGCACAGGATCTTGTGTCTCTGTTCAAATCAGCTCAGGATATTGTGTCTGTGATCAAATCAGCACAGGATCTTGTGTCTCTGTTCAAATCAGCACAGGATCTTGTGTCTCTGATCAAATCAGCACAGGATCTTGTGTCTCTGTTCAAATCAGCTCAGGATATTGTGTCTGTGATCAAATCAGCACAGGATCTTGTGTCTCTGATCAAATCAGCACAGGATCTTGTGTCTCTGTTCAAATCAGCTCAGGATATTGTGTCTCTGATCAAATCAGCACAGGATCTTGTGTCTCTGTTCAAATCAGCTCAGGATATTGTGTCTGTGATCAAATCAGCACAGGATCTTGTGTCTCTGATCAAATCAGCACATAATCGTATGTCTCTAATCAAATCAGCACAGAATCTTGTGTCTGTGATCAAATCAGCACAGGATCTTGTGTCTGTGATCAAATAAACACAGAATCTTGTGTCTCTGATCAAATCAGCACAGGATCCTGTGTCTCTGATCGAATCAGCACATGACATTATATCTGTGATCAAATCAGCACAGGATATTGTGTCTCTGATCAAATCAGCACAGGATATTGTGTCTGTGATCAAATCAGCACATGATCTTGTGTCTCTGATCAAATCAGCACATGATCTTGTGTCTGTGATCAAATCAGCACAGGATCTTGTGTCTGTGATCAAATTAGCACAGGATATTGTGTCTGTGATCAAATCAGCACAGGATCTTGTGTCTCTGATCAAATCAGCACAGGATCTTGTGTCTCTGATCAAATCAGCACATAATCGTATGTCTGTGATCAAATCAGCACAGAATCTTGTGTCACGTCCCTGTTGAATGCATTTATTTGGTTCCGTTCATTATCTTCATCCACACTAAGTCTGGTGTTGGTGTTTCTCACTAAACATGACATTAATTAATTTCGCCATATTTGACTAACGTCTAATTGTCTTGAATATAATTAACAAGTCATGTTTTAAACAGAAGCATTGTGTCTGTAGTATCTTTTTTATGAACACGTGGTCCTTTAATCATCATCTGATTGGTTCCTTGAAGGAAAATAAAAGAATCTTGCAACATATTGTTAATCTTGTCACAAAACTATATAGTTTTCTAATGATAAATCATTAATGCGCCATATTTCCATCGTTTCTTCTTTTTCTCATGGAACTATTGAAATTGAATTTTAGAATAAAGGTGGCGTGTTTCGTCTCCTGTTATGTAACTGTCCACAGACAGTTGTGACGTCATCATTCGTAAAAACGAGCTACTGTGTGCACACAAGGCATGCTATCGATTTGTTTGCGATTTTTAAGACATTTGATTACCATATTGCCTTTCTTTTAGCTAGACAGTTGTTTATGGGTTAATTTTAAGTCGAGCCAAACCCGTGGTTACAGGCAAACATACACAAGCTATTTTCATAGCACATTCAGAATGTAGAGTGTTATCTCGGCCGAGTGTCAACTGTGTGTGCTAAGTTGGTTGTTTACGTTTCCTCTATCTCCAGCGTCCAACGAGAGCACCATATACAAGTATAGGGCTGACACCGACGAGGGCTTTCAGGGGATTCCCCATTCAGGAGTTTGCCATTTTATTTAGTTCCTCTTCGTTGAACAGAATGTATACCTGTGGAAGTCAGCTTGTATTGATTTCATTGACAAAGAAATACCGCTTTATGTTTTATATCTATTTTAATTTATTAATGAAATATGTCGTCGTTCCCTTCGGGGTGAGAGTATTATGTGTCTGGGTACGACTTATGACACACGAACCAAGGTATGATAGGAGTTACAGGGCTGTGAAGTAGCGTTGTCATGGCGGGACACGACCGCCGGTCAGGAATGTTCCCAACGTCCCATCACTTGTACACCGTCTTGTGTATTTCGTGTTTGGGATACAACTTAATGACACCAAACGGTGTGAAAACTGTCACTCTGTGGTTCGTGGATACAGTTGATGTGACATTGGGAGAATATCGTGAGGTACCCTGTAGGTATTCGCTACAATCTTACACAGCGGGCTTTCGTAGATCCAAGACCGTCGTACGAGCAGTCGTGTCACAGTACCCCGAGTCAAGTCGTACCAATCACGTGTTCCATTGAACCCAATGTTCTGTAATACCCGCTTGTAAATACTTCTTTTAGCTAATGGTCATTCGAACACATCTCCGTATCACTGTAAGCCTGTGAGCACATCCTGGTCGATTGGCATGGATGATAGGACACGGGTACAGCGTCACGTTTCAAACCACGAGGGTTTTCTGTGGGTACTCGGCGGCGACGGCAAGAACTGGTATATAAAATGTATTTAGTAAATGATGCACAAAGAAGTTAAAAATAGCAAGGAACTGTGACATATGTTCCCGAAATGATCTGTAACATTGATATGTTGTTAATACATTTCCTCCAAACCATGTTACATGCTCTAAAGGATCACAGTATAAATTTGGATATAACCTGTATAATGTCGTGTACTCCACGTCTATAATGTGTATCAATTGAAAATGTGTAAATCAGAACTTCCTATATTGTCACCTGACGAACTGGCCTTTAACTTTCCGGTATGGTGATCGGTTCGATTCCCCGAACAGACGTGAAAAGTATGGAGTCACCGGCCCGACCCCGTGGGTTTTCCCCGCTTTCCTCCCATAGTGAGACCCTTCCCGGGCTTCCTCCCGGGCCAACAATAGTGCTTAGCATAAATTGGGGGAAAAGTTCAGACATTGTTGTAAAATAGAGTTGGATCATAATATTGTGATATTTCAATAGAGTTTACAAAATATGGATGGATTGCTGACTACATTTGTCAAACACATTTACAAAAAAATGTGGTTAACATGGATACAATAAATCAACTTAAAAAGATAATTATTTTCAAATCATATTAATCATACGTGGAAGCGAACGATGGGCCTTACTGTGGGAGGAAACTGGAGTACCCCGGAGGAAACCCACGTGGTCGGACAGGTGAACCTATTACCTTTCTCGTCCATTCCAGAAATCGAACCCCGGACGGTGAAAGGCGAGTGCGTTACTACATCATCACCCAACGGCCCATATATAAGTGTTGACGTGTTGAGCCAGCCTGGTAACATTTTTGTATAATTTGATTCCCTATCACACTGACCAGTGGTCAGGTCGGGTAGCTCCTCGATATCCGCAACGGTCCTAACAAAGAGAGTCCTAACAGAGTGAGTCCAGACAGAGTGAGTCCAGACAGAGTGAGTCCTAACAGAGTGAGTCCTAACAGAGTGAGTCCTAACAGAGTGAGTCCTAACAGAGTGAGTCCAGACAGAGTGAGTCCAGACAGAATGAGTCCAGACAGAGTGAGTCCAGACAGAGTGAGTCCTAACAGAGTGAGTCCAGACAGAGTGAGTCCAGACAGAGTGAGTCCTAACAGAGTGAGTCCAGACAGAATGAGTCCAGACAGAGTGAGGCCAGACAGAGTGAGTCCAGACAGAGTGAGTCCAGACAGAGTGAGGCCAGACAGAGTGAGTCCAGACAGAGTGAGTCCTAACAGAGTGAGTCCTAACAGAGTGAGTCCTAACAGAGTGAGTCCAGACAGAGTGAGTCCAGACAGAGTGAGTCCAGACAGAATGAGTCCAGACAGAGTGAGTCCAGACAGAGTGAGTCCTAACAGAGTGAGTCCAGACAGAGTGAGTCCAGACAGAGTGAGTCCTAACAGAGTGAGTCCAGACAGAATGAGTCCAGACAGAGTGAGTCCTAACAGAGTGAGTCCAGACAGAGTGAGTCCAGACAGAGTGAGTCCAGACAGAGTGAGTCCAGACAGAGTGAGTCCAGACAGAGTGAGTCCAGACAGAGTGAGTCCTAACAGAGTGAGTCCAGACAGAGTGAGTCCTAACAGAGTGAGTCCAGACAGAGTGAGTCCAGACAGAGTGAGTCCAGACAGAGTGAGTCCTAACAGAGTGAGTCCAGACAGAGTGAGTCCAGACAGAGTGAGTCCTAACAGAGTGAGTCCTAACAGAGTGAGTCCAGACAGAGTGAGTCCTAACAGAGTGAGTCCAGACAGAATGAGTCCAGACAGAGTGAGTCCAGACAGAGTGAGTCCAGACAGAGTGAGTCCAGACAGAGTGAGTCCTAACAGAGTGAGTCCAGACAGAGTGAGTCCAGACAGAGTGAGTCCAGACAGAGTGAGTCCTAACAGAGTGAGTCCAAACAGAGTGAGTCCAGACAGAGTGAGTCCTAACAGAGTGAGTCCAGACAGAGTGAGTCCAGACAGAGTGAGTCCAGACAGAGTGAGTCCTAACAGAGTGAGTCCTGACAGAGTGAGTCCTAACAGAGTGAGTCCTAACAGAGTGAGTGTACCGGAAGTGCAGTTTTATCATAACCCACTACATCTCTACAGCCCTCAGCATTATACATATGTCTGAACTGTAATCATTGTAAGAATTGAATAACAAAAATATTTACCAGTTAATGTGAAAGTATGCCAGATAGAAACATCCAACAATTGTCAACGTACATAAACATCGAAATAAACGAGTGAAACCTTGTCCGCAGGGGATCATTACCGATTTAGCTCCCCTGTTAATGACTGTCTCTGCCCTGACCTAATTGACAATGGCCCTGCGGTAACGGCTTTGAAGACATCATGTTTGTAAGTATGGGCCCGTAACACACGTTAAAGTATGTACAGGTGATCATGTAGGAACACCTGCCCTGGTCTACCTACCATGACAGACATAAAATACAAGATTTTTCACATAGATACTCGCTTTTATTTTCATATCTGGAGTGTAAATTGATCAAAAAACTTGTCTCGCTCTCTCTATACATGTAATCAGGGAAATTGGTGTGTGATAAGATATGTAATCATTTATTTCCATTTCACAACATCGAACAGTTTGTCAAAGCGTTGTGAAAGTAGTTATTTCATTCATTCAGTTTAATAATCATTTGCAACAGTAAAATGTATTGTTTTCAGAAACTGAAATTTATAGTATTCATTTTCATAGACTGCATCTGTAAATCATGCAGAGATTAGAAACCGACCCAGGGAATCGAACCATGACCCACAACGTTCCCACCAGCAGTGCGGTGTTCGATTACTGTGAAAAATCCCAGTTAAAAGTGAACATGTTGATATATCTTCAATATGTCTTTATTAATCTTGTTCATATAAATAATAATATTCCATATTAGTTCTATATATAGTTGTATACTTGTTCTGTACTTGTATCTAATAGAACCACGAATTTTCACCGTAGAAAAAAAGTAATTACGCTGAAAAGATAAATGAACTTAATGAGTGTGTATTTCGATGAAATTACGGTCATCAATCCCCGAACTATAAGACTCTCTATGTCGACCTTTGTTAACTGGAATTGCCCGTATGATAGTACAAACATACCCTGTATCTCTTCATAGTTTATATACAACATCCAGAATGTTTGTTATAATGTGCTGAAAGGTTTGAACCACTCCCTCTCCACCACCCTGAATTTTTCACCATTACAATAAAACTTTAGTTGTTCCTGTCTGGTATGAATAATGTATCATACGTTCCTGTTACATTCCAGACACAATAGTCGATATTTCACATAATCTAATTATAGCTCTTCACATCGTATCAGTAATTTGAATTTGTCGAAATAGCAGTTTGAAAATGATAATTATTGGAGTATTCCATAGTCTATCTCTTGCATTAAAAACCAATTTAGTAGGACATTTCGATTAAGTGATACTGCCTCACACAGGTGTTCCAAGCGCATGGGGATATATTCAAATACAATATCTTAACTGAGATCAGCAATATATTCCAATATTGAATATTCTTTTTTTTTCTACAAAATGTAAAAGTTAAGGAATAATATCCACTCTACATCCAACACTACAGAACGTGCGTTTATAGACGTTTAACGTGCCACAGAAAGGAATCTGTTGGGAAGTGAAGAGACACTGGAACGATTTAGAGATCTTCTGATATCTGTTTCTGAATACTAGACCGATGTAAAGGTAAAGTCAATATAGAACCAACAGAAATCGGACTAGATTTGTCCAAACACGAAGTTTCAATCGTCCGTAATGCTATTATGCAGTTTAAAGTGTTTTTGAACTAATATCAGAAAACGAAACATGTCAAACTTCATTCTATTTGAAATAGGAAAGAAATGAACTATAAAGTAAACATGTTTTCTACACAGGCAAGAAATCCGTATGTTGTAAAATCCTTATAGGTTAGAATTAACGACTACTTCTAGAACAAATTTTGTCCAAGGGATGACAGATGGAAAACAACTTAAAACTATTATGATAACCTGGTTAATCCAAACAGAAATCAATAAGCTATAATGATAACCTGGTTAATCCAAACAGAAATCAATAAGCTATAATGATTACCTGGTTAATCCAAACAGAAATCAATAAGCTATAATGATTACCTGGTTAATCCACACAGAAATCAATAAGCTATAATGATTACCTGGTTAATCCAAACAGAAATCAATAGGCTATAATGATTACCTGGTAAATCCAAACAGAAATCAATAAGCTATAATGAAAACCTGGTTAATCCAAACAGAAATCAATAAGCTATAATGATAACCTGGTTAATCAGAACAAAAATAAATCACAGCGAGGTTTACGAACCACATATCCTATACTTCTCTCTCTATACTCTAATATAAAACTTGGAACACGTTTGTCGTTCGCCCGGTGGCCCGACATCTTTGTAAACGATTTAATCATCACCGTAAACATTTGTACTCGAAATGTTGTTTTCTTGAATTATTCCGTCACCTGAAGCGATACAACGATGTTACAATTTCTTCCAAATATAATATCATGTTTATCAGTAAATATCTAGGAAACATATTTACAGGTAAACGATAACTGAAGCCAGTGGCATGGTGACGTCACGTGTTGTGTAGCTAAAGATAAAATAAGGTAAAAAATAGTACAGAAAACCCAGTCATCTACATGTATTTTTTTTTCATTCAATTTTGGTTTATTTACGGTCGTTCATTTGATGAAGAAAATAGCGCGCGTTATGATAACGTTACCAATTCTGCCGATAAGTTTGTACTTTGACTACTGTTTTGACGTCACAAAAGACGATATCAGCATACAAACCAAAAGAGTAGCGTTGTCTCCCAGGTGTGTACGAATGGATAATTCTTCCTACACACAACCACGAGAAATTTGGCGCCAAATATGACAGTGATGCAAGTCTAAGAAGCAAACAGGACAAACATTTTGAATCAAAATAGTGACGTCACTAGTTTCGACAGAAAGACCATGACACCTTAGAATGTAATCTGTAATGTCGTCTGCGATGTATGGAGAAAGAAATACCAAATCCTCCTGTTTAGAGACTATTTGTGACGTCACAACAGACAATTGTATCATACTAGTCGAAAGAGTTTCAAAACTTGTTTACAATACTTATAAAACAAATTCAGATAAAATTATTGCTACCTAGAAATCGTCTTCGTCGGTAGCGACATCGCTGTCTATTCCAATGGTATTGATTATGGAGGCCGAGCACCCGAGATCCAGCGAGATGATGGAGTACAGATATAACGATTTTATCGCCATATTTCACTAATTTATTGCTTCTAATGACGGCACGTATGCCATTGGATGGGATAGGCATAGTACACTTACATAGATACAGTTTCAATCAATGCAAAGCTAGACTTGTTTTTAATGTAATGAGATCAATAGTGATGTAGACTGTAAGTCTGGGCAGATCGTGCCGGCGCCCGATCAGACGGAGTACGACGGTGGAACCGGGCACAGTGCACCCACTTCTACTCCACGCTCACAAATCCTTTTACTTATTAATGAAACCTTTAATAAGCTTCCATTTAAAATTCATCAAATGATGATAACAAGGCAGTGTCACTGTTGGCCTGGACAGGTGTGTAGGAGGAAGGGTATACATGAAATTCTGGCGTCACTATAGGGTAGTGCGAGTAAAGAAACCCTGAACAGTGTGATGACGAGAAGTATCAGTAATCAGGAGGGCCGAATCAGGCAGGAAAATAACGACAGGAATTATCAATATATGTAATGAAGTCTGAAAAACTGTATACTTTTTGGAGATAAAGGAGACAAATGTATAATTCTTTGG